TTTCTGGAATCAGAAGTCAAGGCACTGAACTGGATCTGATTTTACAACTTTTGCAGCAGTTGTTAGGCAAACGCCGTGGGCATCAAGCAAAGCCATGAATTCCTGGGGGCGACTTTGTGATCGGGAACTGGCCAAAAAAGCTGGAAACTGTCCGAAAACTTAAAAGGGACCATGAAATGCCACCATTGGTCCTAAAGTCAGCTGGTGAATCCTCTTGGCCGTTTTTATCTCTGAAAACCTGTTTCTTCTTCCCTCCCAGACCCCAGAAACTCTTCCTGAAAAGCGTCCTTGTTTAGATTCCCCTCAACCATGAAGATGAACTTAAATTCTCTTCCGTGAAGAGAGGAGATGTCCAGCCTAGCCTTAGTCCCTTAGCTTATTCAGGAGGGGTGGAAAGGGATTCCCTATTCAGGGTCTCCTGCTAAAGGTCCCGTTTCCGTTGCTCTTATTACAGAAACGTCGGTATTTACGATGCTCGGCACCTGAAGAGCAGAAGCCAGCCAGTGGTTGCGCTCAATGGACACAGCAAGAGTGTGGCTTCCGCTTATTTTTCACCTGTGACTGGAAACAGAGTAGTGACGACTTGTGCTGACGATACACTGAGGTATGTGTGAGTTGGTTATAGGTTAGATTTTGGTTTGGGGAGTCTGCCTTCTAATTTTCTTCTCCTGCAGCTCTTTGCAACCAAATTTTTTTTATTTAGCAGGACAAAATTTGGTCCAGGGAAATGGCCTAAGTAGCCTTCATATCAGATGTCTATTGAGGCAGATTTGCCCTCACAGGATTTTCTCTTCTCTTTGCAATATGTGCAGAATAAAGGGAGTTTGCTGGTTTCTGTGTAAAATGGGGACGAGACAGAAGAACACTGTTGAAAGAGGGCTGGGGAAATGCTAGAGGACTCAATATTGCATCCCTTTATGCGCTTGCTGTAAATATTGTGAGGAATTGAGCAATTCGGGCTCTACTAGTGACCATCAGATTCCACAAACTGGAAAGTCCAAATGGGAGTTCACAGAGAGCAAGGGGTGCTCACACACACACACACACACTCACACACGGCTGGCACCAGCGGGCACCTGCCCCAAGGGAATAGAACAAACGCTGCCTGGAGCAGCAGCTGCCTCCTCCTCCTCCTCCTTCCTCCCTTCTG